GCCAGGGGGGTTGTGGTGGCCCCCAGGCCGCTGAGGCCATCCATTCCTCGAGGGCGAGCCTCCTCGTCCTAAAAACGGGGCCCTTCAGCCCTGCGAGAAGCCTCCGCGGCGGCGCCCGGGCAGGTGCGGGTTTGCTTCCGCCCATGGCCGGGGGTGAAAACGCCCCCCGGGCGGCTGCAGAGGCTTCGGGTCTGCGTTAAAGGACCAAAGCTGTGAAACGTTAGGGAAGCCAGCTTTTGGTCTACCCCTTAAACAGTTCGGTGGCACTTTAATGTGCTTTCTGGAGTTTAAAGTAGTATTATATTAAAAAAACAAAACAAAACAAACCCACAAAAACAAAGTACAAAACCCCACCATTCATTAATAAGTTTGTTGTGTAGAGTATATGGTTTATGATGATGATTTTTCTAAAGTTTATGTAAAAACATAATGCACTTTATTTTTCTTTTGAATGTCCTTAGTTTTGCTGATAAAAAAGAGTTCAGACAGAGCTCAATACAAATAATTTTTAAAGAAATAAACTTAAATCTTCAGAGAATATTGTAAGACTCATCTTTTTCCTCCTGATGGAGAGGGGGAAGTTAGAAAAGAAAATCACCAAGACATCATTCATTATATCTAGGGATGCATTTGTGCATTGCACAAGTTTAAGTATTTTTTTTTAAGTTCAAGAGGTATGATTTTTAAGAGATGACTGAAATTGTGAAGTATGTATGCAAATAGGTTGTATCCTGGTTAAATATGAGGAAAAAGGAAGTGAAAGGTTTAATCTGTAATTCTTTTTCTTTTTTACATTGTTATGGTCCAGGAGCTACATCTGTTTCTGCCAAGTGCAGGTAGAGCCTAGCAATTTCAAAGTAAAAAAAAAATGTTCATTTTTTCACTCCTGTGAAATACAGGAAGAAATAGAAGAAATTCTAGGTAATGAGAAAACTTGGAAAAATAAGTGGCTCCCCCTGCTGCTAATGGTTGGAGAGCAAATGTAGCTCAGTAAATGATGAAAGCTATTAATTGCCAAATTTTAGTTTGTACATAATGACAACAAAAAATATAGCAATTTATCTGAAGATTTTCCAAATTTTATTACAGCAAGTCTATATTAGGTATTTGGAAACAAAGCTGGCACTGTTTTGAAACACTTAGAAGATTGGCCAGATACCAGAAAAACGTGTTCCTGACTGTAGCGAAAACGACCAGAAAGGTCAGGCAGCAGGCTGGTTTCCTTTTGACAGTAACGTTGTGTCTGATGAAGAACCTTAGAGTGTGAAGCAAGAGCTTAATACAGGTAGCGGACCTTTTGTGCCATGATGCTGAGACCCATTTGTATCTCTGAGGTTCTGAAGATCTTTTTCAGCATTAGACCTTAAAATCATTCTCTTTTGTAACAATACCCACTGCTTTTCTTGTTACAACCTCTGGTAAAGCTTAGCAGCAGCAAGGGAGACAAAAAACCCCCCACATTGTTTGGAGCCAACTTAGTGCCTGATATATGTTGAAAAGGAAGGGGGAATGCTATAGGAAGCAAGAGAGTCTAGGAGCTAAAATTTAACTTTGATCTTTTAACTAAAAGTTGTCAAAGGTTATTAATTGTTAGGATGTATCTGGGGTTTTAGTGAACTTGCAGGTAGATCTCATGTGTGTACATGTCAATGATAAGTTTCACTGTGAGCACCACAGCCAAAATAGAATTTGGAATACATAATCAGATTTATATAATTAGGAAACTCAGGGATGCTTGTTTTATTGCTGGTACTGTAAATCTCCCACCATGTTCATAACCCGAGGCTGCTAGCAACTGGAGCAAAAGGCAGTCCCTGCTTAAACCTCAAATCACAATACAATTTAATTACACCAGAAGGACGTACAGAGTGTGAGTGAAAACTAATATAGGAGTACTTTTCCATGTGTGATCCTGTTGATATTTTTGGCAAGAGAAGGATGGTGCTGTAACTTGCACTTGATGTTTATTCTGTAAACTTGTTCAATGTGCAATGTCTCTTGCTCAGTTTGTTCCCTTACTGGTTTTGTTCAGATTTCAAACAATTTGTTAGGCAGTCTGACTCTTAGAAAGTCTACAATACAGAAGGCATAACTGTGTGTATAAATGCATTTTTGCACAAATAGATTCACATATTATAAGATTGCTAGAATTACATTACAAGATACATTTGTGTTAGCAAACTAAAAATATGCCAAATCAAGCTGGGACTTGGAATTTTAAGTCTCTCTTGTTGGTCTTCATTGAACCGATGGCATGAAAGTTTCCATTGAAGCTTGGATCCTACAAAAGGGAATCACTCAGGCAAACCCCTAATTCACTGCTCCCCAGCATCCTAAATCATCCCATTTCATTCTGCCTGAAGGATCAGGAATAAGCAAAGGGTAGAAGGTTGTGCCTCCTTCTGCTATGAGAAATAAAGGATGCATTAGACGCATTCAGTCAAGGTTAGCCTTCAGCTTTTAAGGTCAGGAAGCTGAAATGGTTCAGAGCTCTTGAACAGATTTTGTCAGCAAAGAAGAATGTTAAGGACTCCTGCTTGCTGGCAGATATGTATGGAGCTCCTGGAGTATTTAGCAGATGTTCATTATTTTGAAGGTTTGCATAAATAAAAAAGGTATTGCTTTTATAGTAACATTAATATAACAAAGAACTCACATAGAACTCAAAGAAGCAGAGGCAAGGCCTGTGCAAAGGAAGTTTGAAATGAAACATAGGATACCAACATACCTCATACCAGAGCATGAGGGTGCATGTGGTAATGTGGTGATCCTACTGGGCTCAGGATGGAAGGAACAAAAGTCTGCACAGAGCTTTGCAATATATTTTGCAAAGGGATGCAGTCATTTAGTGGTCATGAAGACCATTTACACAACTTGTGAAGAAAATGTATTTTGGTACCTTTTTTTTTTTTACCCATTTGGCAAATGTGTGGTCAGTAATCCCATATTTCTCATGAAAAACTTCATATTTATTCATGCCCTGCTACTACAGTGGGACTGTGATGTGGTTGGAATGAATTTGAAGGGATGAATTTGTGGCATTTCTAGGGAAAAAGTGGGGTTTGCATGTGATAAAAGGAACATGTTTTTAAAGTGCCAAATCAATATATCCAAATAGCTTTATTATAATAGTATGTGGTAGGTTGGGGTTTTTTTTGGACTCTCAGTGAATGAATAGGATGCGTTTAGTTAATTCCCAAAAGACAGTTTCTCATATCAGAAGTACTTAATGTCATACATATTTTTGTTCTTAATTATCTGGTAGATTATGTGAGGAGGTATTTTTCTTTGTTTCTTTGGCTTATGTATTATTAATTACACAAGTGTAATCATCTTTGTGATCTCTTCTGTTAGCAAATGCTGGGTTAGCAAATGCTGATCTAGTTGTGGACACTAAACTTAGTGGTGTCATAGGGAGTGACTAGTGTTGATTAGGGAATACATTATGATGAAAATTTCTGTTGGTGCCCTCAGCTGATTGAACAAAAATGTGGCTGAAATCAGTAGGGTGAAGGAGAAGGAAATGACACAGAAATATATAGGCAGAAAGGATAAATGGTGTGATAGGTGATACAAGAACAATGACCTGAGTAAATGGGTCTCGCAGCCTAGGAAAATTGTTACTTGAAATAAATTTTTAGTGTTCAAATTTTAATTAATTCAACAAAATGAGAAAAAGTTATGCAAGATGAGATCCTCACTCCCTACCACCACTGCAGCAGGACAGGAGGAATGCAAGGAACTTGGTGAGTTCTAAATTTGTTTAAAGAACCACAGGTGGCACCCAGAAACTTGTGAAGTTCCTCTTGGGGGAAGGAAGGGGAGCCTGCTCTGAACTACACATTCCCGATGTCTTCAGTAGGTGCTGCTGCTCATAGGGAAACTTGGGAACAATGCTCCATCCAGTTCAGACAGCTCCGAACTGTCTGGATTGTGTCAGAGACACTCCTGCCTTGGGAACTGCCCGAAGTAAGGAGGCTGAAAGCTCTGGTGTGCTCTTCCTGAGCTATGAGTTCCTCTTTCACCTCCAAGGAAAGCGCTCCTTCACTTGGGTTTCTGATACTAGCTTCTATGAAGCAAGCTGAGTGAAGCCTATTAAGAACACAAGCACCATATAATATAAAGTAGTAATTGCAAAACTCTGTCTGGCGGTCTATTATAACAGATAATACTGCAGGTAAGTATTAATCATATAGTTTATAGGTCACATTTCTCATAAAGAGAAATCTTTGGAACTACTAGGACGGCATTCTAGCAGTATCTTGAAATGCTGGGAAGTTATAGTGAAGTCACTGTTGCAATACAGGTTGATAATTTCAAATTCCTTCTGGCTTTTTGTTAGTATGATCAAATATTTCAGAGTCTCTTTAGGCATAGTCTTCGTGTTTGAAAAGTAGACCTTATTTTTACCATTACTAAAAGGTATCCACAGTACTGATCCATATCTTACCAATATGAGAAACAGTTTTTTCAGCTGAAGCCAAAAGAAGCATTTTTCTTTATTGTAGTTTTAAAAATGTTGACTGGAATATAATTGTACATTGAAAAAATACTATAAACTTTTCAGTCTTTGTTCTTCTAACAAGACAGTTAAATACTACTGAAAATGATTTAACACTAGGAAAGATGATATAACATCTTGTTTGTCAAATAACACTGGATCCCCAATCTCTCTTGCAATCCTAGAACTGTTGTGACTTACATCAAAATAGTGGCATAACTTTTTCACATTACGTGTCACACCTACCTATAAGTCAAAATATAAATAATGTGCAGAACATTTACCTGAAATTATACATCCGTTTTTATATAAAACAGATCACATTTACCACTTGGTCACATAACACAAAATCTTCCTAGAGATTTTTGGTCAAACTGATTTTCCGTTGTTTTGCAGTCATCCAGCTCTCTGAAGGCATCTTATGAAGACTGGCTGCTGACATATGGCTTGAGCATCTCTCCTTTTCACATGCGATGGCAAACAGCTCTCTTCAACCGCCAGTTCTACAACTGGGGGAGATGGAAACCCAGATTTCTGTATTTATGGTATAAATTCAGGATTTTTTTTTCTTCTGTTAAATACAGAGTCAACAGCTTAACCACATCTGTGCCTTTCAGCCTTAAAGGTGCAGCGGATAGACATGTTTATTTCACTGGGCTAATGATAAAACCAAATTAGTGTGGTTGCCATAATTGTACTGTACCAGTGTAAGTCTTTCTTCTCTGCTAAAAAATACACAGCTGCAATATAGGTTGCATATTGAGATACTATAAAACTAGAAACTGTAAACTATTTTTACCTATGGTTTGAACCATACATAGTTCTTAAGAGTACAGCTGTTACATGTAATGCTGCGTGCAGAAGTAGGTCTGAAAGCAGCTTCTCATGTCCTGTGTCTGCCCATCACTGTACACTGAGCTCTCCCCTGACCACTAGAGTTTACAAAGTATTCAAAGACAGTTGTGTCCCTGTTGTCAATCATTGCCCAGTCGTTCAGCAACTATACCTGCTCAGAAGTGCACCTTCTTTTATCTGCCTGCACTGTTCCCTACTAACATTGCACAGATTGCTGGGAATGGGTACATAAGCAGGGAGGTTAGTATGGGTGCTCGTGGACTGGTTTAGAAAACTATTGCTCAGTCGCCTTCCTAGCATTACTTTATATCTGCTCTGAAAATATAAAATGAGTAAGGTTTTAATTTCTTTTCGTTTCCTGTATTGCTACCCTCAGTGAGATGATAGTAATAAAAGAGAGGTCTGCTTCGTATTGGTTTCTCTTGTGTGTAATGATTTTACTATTTCAGTCTCAAATAGTTCTAGATTGATCACAATTTTTAATGCATATAATTTATTACAGTATAATGTTTCCACCAGTCTCTTTAATTAACATTACATGTTGCTTAAAATAAATCTACTAATTCCCAGTGAGCTTCATTAAGAATAGTAAGAGAACATTTATGGCATTGTGAGATGAGGAAGGACTGGTAGTGAACTGAAGTGTTTTAGCTAGAAAATAAACTTTGTCACATCCTTCAACTATTGAACAGTGTAAAAAAATAAAAATAATAATAATCCTGAATAAAAATTCACCACTAGGTGTAGTGATGAGAATTGCAATGGTTAATCTGGTCTTGCAGTTGTACCTTTTAGTTATTCTTCTTTAGAAAAGGTTGAGTCTCATTTATTGTTCTTTAGCACTTTTTATAATTTGCAAGGAAGATGCAAAATTTATTAAAAAGCTTATATAAATAAATATGTATGCTACCCCATCATTTGATTCTGGTCTCTAAAGACGCCGTGGTGTGGTGTGGCATGGTAAATTACACATTGTTAATTATGTTTTTATATTCATAGTTAATGGCAAGTTACATGTAGTGGGCAACTGTATAAAATTTAGAATGTGTAAGAACAACATAAAAATGTTTGAAAATTAATCAGGATGTGGTTTGAATGTAAAACATTTATTAACCAAGGAAAGGATTATACGTTATTAGCTAATGTTTTTAGTATATGTTATTCTTGTTATTACTTGTTATTAGTTTTTTTTAGCTCATATTTTTGTACGGGATTGTTGATACATGAGTGGTAGTAGCATCAGATAAGTTTTGCCCTATGAGTTTGGTGTGCTAAAGCAGTTACGCATCCAGAGAATATACCCTATCTTCTTGCAGCTATGCATTGCTAAACTATTTGCTTCTCTTTGTAGGTTCAGCATAGGGATGGTGTTTGGTATAGTTGCCATGTTTGGCTCTGTTATTCTTCTCGGAAAGACACTGATGCAAACACTGGCACAGATGCTTACGGAGGCACCGAAAGCCCAGAATGATCGTATGCTGCAAGTTGTGGTAAGTGGTTTGTCCCCAGGTCTTTGCTTGAGAGTTGCGAACTTACCTTAACCAGCTTCCTAATGGGGTATGTGATGCTAAAATCCTCCCATGCAAGAATAACCTAACTCCTGATATTCATCTACATAAAAATTTGCTGGTTTGTTATCAGGCTTAAAATGGGGAGTGGAGGTAGTAAAAGAGGGGAAGACAAATGAAGTCAAACATGTGGAAGAGTTTATATTAGAAATTCTCAGGAGTGAGAATTGGCTAGTAATTTTGAAAGGCCCCAAATTATCATAGTACTAAGAGTACAAAACAGAACTAAGAATTTGCTTCCTCTGAGCTGTGCAATGTAGAGGTACTGGTGGCCTTAAAGTTTTCAGAGCACATCCATAATCCACAAGAGGAGAGGAGTTCTATTTCATTTATTACAATACAAAACATCAGTGGAAAAGGAAAGAAGTGTAAAGAGCTTTATGTGATAGTGGAAGCAAAGATTCATTAGTGAGGAGATGGCATATTTTTTGATTGTTCAAGGACTTGTGCCCTAATTTACAGTGTAAAATTGAAAGTGCTTTTTCTGGCAGTATCTAGTCAAAGGCCTAATAACAATGTATATAATTGTTTTGTGGATTTCTGATGCTGGACAAGATATTGTATGGTTTTAGAAAGGAATGTATTTCACAGAACAGAAGAGATTACAAATGCTGTCTTTTTTATCTCTATGCAAGGCAGTAATGGAAGAACTGACATTGCCTTACAACAGTGTTTAACCTGGAAGGATTCCTAGCCCCACTTATTCCCCAAGAGTGTTATCTGGCCAGAATGTGTGGTCATTTTCCAGAAATGCAGAAAGTCTTATAAGATTGCTCTGCCTTCTGCTGCATGGCTTAGAGCAAGGGTGCCCAACCATTTTACTCTAAGTACTCAGCTAGTCTAGTGAACAGAAGTTGGGAATTGCGTGCTGCCATGATAGGCCTTCCTGTAAGTGCTGAACTGACTGCGTGCAGCTAGACTTAAAACATTGCCTGAGTGCAGGAAGCCTGATCATTAGCGTGTGCCATAAACTCAGTGCCTTTGCGATGGTTTGGGTCTGTTTCACACGTGCAGGGTGAATATAGCAAATTCAGTATGTGTTGGCAAAAGCAGGCAACGAGACCTGGGAGACACCTGCAGGTACTGCCCCTGCAGTCACCCGGTCCACAGCCTGCTCCTGGGTTACCTCCAGAAGCAGACAGTGCATCCACTAGAGCACAGGTTTAACACAAGACAGAAAATTTTTAATTTACATGCCAACAGGGTCTATCCTAAGCATGTATGTCTATTGCATTCTGGAGTAAGAAAAGCCTCCCTTGTGTCTCCGTTTTCTGAGATCATTATAAGGATCTATCCACTTTTGTGACACCAGAGTAAAGTGGCCATTTGCGATATATTGCTCTTTGAAGAAAATAACATAGAGGCAACCAAAGTAAAGATGAGCCTTTGGAATTAATCTGGTGTGAATTTGAACTATGAAAGCAGAAATCTAGGATAATGTACGCAATTTCAATGTGAAACTGATTCCTCAGTGACTGCCTGCTGGCAATATTACTGCATTCAAACCAAAGACAGAGTGGTTGTCTGAAAAAGATGTAATTTATAGGGATAATGTAATGTCATGTATGGGGATATGGGTACTTCTCCTGCGTTGACTTGTGGTTCTCTTTCTATCCTACTTCATTCTTTCATTTCTGAATGGTCACAGTTCTATAATTCTGCCTTTAAGCAGTTTCAGTATTCTTTTTGAGGGGAATGTGCTAGCATAAGTTGACAGAAACCAGTGATCTATGTGTGGTTGCAAAGAGGTGAAGAACAAGTCAGGAGGACCTTCTCCTCATTTAAATTTGTTATTTCTGCCAGAGGAGAGTGAGTTAGTTCTTTTGAAAAAAAAAACCAACTTCTTTTTTTTAGCTCAGCTTTAGCCTGTGGCATAAATCTGTTTAGCCTTTGGCTATGGAGATATATAGAGAGAGAGAGGAGAGAGAGATACAGTTCTGCTTAGGTTTTATTGATTAAGATTTTTGTCTCCTCCTTCTTTTATTCAGTCATGTACTTTATTTAAAATACCTATCTGTAGGTAACTGGCCTGTTTTTCTTCAGCTGCCCCCTCTTGTGTTGGTTGCCTATTGACAAAAGTGGGAAAGAGGCAGATCGGTAACTAGTAAAGGATCTTCTTTTACTAAAGGCATTTCCAGAAGACCGTAAAATAGAAGATGGCAATGCTCATTAACAAAATACTGCTGTTGATTTCAGAGCCCTTCATGAGAGTTAGCTTCCCTTTCAGGCTAGCTTCTTTGACATGAAGTCTGAAAGCATCTGGTGCTGTGTTCTAACAGGCTGTAGTCATGGTGGCATTAAGATGGCAACTCTGGCTATTGCTGTCTGTCCTGCCATGTGACCGGAGCGGAGGGCCACTGGCAGCACCAGTTATCTGATGCATTAGTGCCACAGCTGGTGCTGTAATACAAGCAATGGATGCTTAATGAATGAAGAGCAGCTGTCTTCATACAGTGGGGTACCATAGTCGTGCCAGTTAAGACAAATATCTTGGTCATGATCACTCTCTGGACAGAATTTGTGAAATGATTCACTTTAACATTAATGAAAATAGTCTTTTGAAGGATTTCTTTTAGCTAGATTGTCTCACCAACCCATTGTAGAGTTCTGCTGCATGGATAGGTGAATGCATATAATTGAGGAATGTGCAGTACTGAATGATGGTAGAATCAAATGAGATCTGCTCAGTTGGATCTACAGCCTTTTGTGTCCCACAGAGGTAGTTTTTTAGAGAGTCCTATAGACAGGCCAGAAATTTTTGCCCATAGCATCCCTTTTCTGCCACTGGATTGCAATTCAAGCTGTGTTCACAGCAGCTGTTAGTGACTGTAGTGGAGCGCACCCTGCCTCAAGCAGGGAGAACTGTGGAGCAGACAGAACTGTCCCAGAGCAAGCAGCAGAAGTGGCCTTACCATCCCACTGCAGCACGGCAGCCGTGCGGGGACGGGAACTGAGCAGGGAGAAAGAGGAGATTGCATGAGCCAGCAACGTGCCCTCATGGCCAAGAAGGCCAATGGTATCCTCCTGGGGTGCATTCAGAAGAGCTTGGCCAGCAGGTTGAGGGAGGTTATCCTCTCCCTCTATTCTGCCCTCCTCTGGAGGCCACCTCTGGAGTTCTGTGTCCAGTTCTGGGCTCCCCAGTTCAAGAAAGACAGGGAACTACTGGAGAGAGTCCAGCGGAGGGCTACAAGGATGATGAAGGGACTGGAGCATCTCCCTCATGAGGAAAGGCTGAGAGAGCTGGGACTGTTTAGCTGGAGAAGAGAAGACTGAGAGGGGATCTGATCAATGCTTATAAATATCTAAAGGGTGAATGTTAAGAGGATGGGGCCAGCCTCTTTTCAGTGGTGCCGAGTGACAGGACAAGGGGCGGCAGGCACAAACTGAAACACAGGAAGTTCCATCTCAGTATGAGGAAAAACTTCTTCACTTTGAGGGTGACAGAGCACTGGAACAGGCTGCCCAGGGAGGTTGTGGAGTCTCTTTCTCTGGAGATATTCAAAGCCTGCCTGGACACCATCCTGTGCAACCTGCTCTAGGTGATCCTGCTTTAGCAGGGGGATTGGACTAGATGATCTCCAGAGGTCCCTTCCAACCCCTACGGCTCTGTGATTCTGTTCTTCATTCTCTGACTCGTGACTGCTTTGAAGCTCATCTGGAAGCAGCTGCTGTCTCATGACTGTTGCAATAAAGGACTTGGGGGGTGGTGGGAATCCACAGCAACAGGAGGAATGTGAGGGGCCTGCATATTATGTCTTACATAAATTAAAATTGTATGCTCACTTCAAGTGCTGTTTTTTTAAAGGTTAAATTGCTGTATGTAGACTGCCAAAACTTGAACAAGAGACAAAAGTTACCCTTTTTTTGACCTTGTAAATTTGGGATAGTCTTGTGATTTAGATAGGGAGACTGACAGTTCCAGCTGTAGATTCATTTTTTGAACTTTTAGGGCTCATAGTGTTTTCAGTGCCGTACAATTTTTAATTTTTTTTTTTTTTTTGAAGAGTGGATCTCTCTAGGTATATGACTTGCTGCAGTAAATTGTAAACTAATGCCCACAGTTGCCAAGTCTGTTTCATTTGAGTGGAAGTCTGTGTACATTTTTATAAACCTCTTGAGCTTAATATAGTGTAGGACACATTCGGTCAGGACTGTGGGGAATAAGTAAGGCAGGGAGAAGGCTTTTGCGCCTGGAGAGCTTTTCAACCTTCCACAAAATAATATATATTTAATATATTTTAAAATACATTAAATAAATTGGGAGAAGAGGTACAAACTGATAGTGCTGCATGAGAACTGCCCCTGTTCTGTTGCAGGTCTGAAGAAGCTGAGTGAGTGCAGCAAGTTTAGGAACAGAATGATTTGTCTTTGTACCTCTTGGTTTCCTCCTGTGTTTTGTTTTGTTGTCATGCCCACATCAACAGGTGCCTGGTGTAAATTTGCCTGTCAGCCAGCTGACCTATTTCTTCTCTGCAATCCTCATCAGTGGTGTGATACATGAAGTCGGCCATGGGGTGGCAGCTATTCGGTAATACAAATTGCTTTTCTCTTACTATGTGCCAACAAAGCCCAATATTCCAGAGAATTTACTTACAGGTGAATGTTGTTAGCATTGCTTCAGTTTATCTGGAGAGGCTATTTATTCTGTATTTCATAGCTTCCTTAGATTTTAAGTTTGAAAGGGTGTACAATTAAGGATAGAGTTTTAATACAGTGTCTATTCTACAGATCATGAGAAAGGACTTCTGCTTTGCAAATATACCACGCTGAATTAGGTCTAAAATAGTACTTCTTCTAAGTTGGTGCTGTTTTTCATACAGCAATTGCATTTCTGCAGCTGTGGCACTTGAAGAGGACCCGTGCGCTATTGCATGATTGTACTTTAAAAAAGATTTTAAATTGATTTGTTTAAACGTAGCTTGTGAAGTAGTGTGCCAACAGGCTGAAGCAGTAACTCAGTCCAATCTGATTTGCCCCTATTAATCTCGGTGATGTGTTAAGTTTGATCAAAGATGGTATTTCTAATGTCACTTAACTACGGTGATTACTTCACAAAAATGTTGTTTGACGTGGTTAGTCATAACTGTTAAATAACAGTTCAGCATAAGAGGGTTAAGTGGTGGTTACTGGGATTGATACTCGTGTCCTCTGCATTTCCCCTGGACATCATCATTATCTGTCCTGTGAGCATGAAGCCCTAAGTTGTTTCTCTAATTTTCTTGAGTGTAGGGAGTCCTGACTGCATCTTAACCCATTACTACCTTTTTTATAACCCAAAAAGTTCTCAATTAAAGGTGTGGCTCGGGACGCTCTATGTTTCATATGGTCTGTTTGTCTTTCAGCTTTTTCCCCCTAATATTCACAGGGATTTTTCTGTGGAGGATGAAACTCTTGCTTATCCCACCACAGGAAGAAGCAACAGAATTTCCTTTCTCACAATGCCTTCACATGCTGCTGGCTAACTGCAGAGAAGCCAGGAGTAACTATAGAGCTCTTTTTAACCAGAGTGAATAATTCCTATACCTTACTGATGTGGTATCTTCATTCAAGATCTGGAGCAAAGGCTCTAAATATTCAAGTGTGGGTTATGTTTTTGTCAAAAAATTAATTCCCAGCTATTTCCAGGGCAAAAACAGTGTCCAATATACACTGCTGTTGCTGCTGCTGTTTTCTGCTTGTCCTCTTTTTTTTTTTTCAAAACTCCTAGTGCAGGCTGGGTTTATAGTGCTGTTAGGGTCAATCCTCAGGGTTTAGGCTTTACTAAATAGCTCTGCTGTGGGCAAGTGTTATTATTCTGGCAAATCACTTTGACTCCCTGAAATCTAATACACTTTTACCAACTTCTATTCAAGATAGTACTGGCTGTGAACTATATGAGCTTAAAATATTTGAGCCTTAGTTTAGTCAAGGCTTGTGCCAAAAAAGCCATTTTCTTCCTCTGTACCTCCTACCCAAGTCATGAAATCATGTGTAGGTATGAGACTGCCTGTTACTAATTGATAGCATGGGTAGGTCTGATGAGTTAACTCCAGGGAATGATTGTAGTACTTCATTCTGATTAATTTGGTATAATTCTGTGTCTTCTTTTATTGTATATGCACAATAAGTAAATAAATGTGAATAAATAAAATACTATGCCCAGTCTACTGTCTCAGTAAAGATAGGGGATTAGCTGATCCATGCCTGGTTTGTCTTGGAACACAATTGTCTTGGAATAACAATTGGAATGTAATTGTCTTGGAACATGATTGTCATGTCTCTGTAAGTCCCTTATGAAATTTCTAGCTTCATAAAACCTTCATGTAGTTATTCCAAAAAGAGCTATTTATGACAGTGTCAGCTACTAATATATTTAAATAGCATTTGTCCCTTTAACCTCTTGACTTGTTTTCATTTTTTCAGATGACATTTCCCTCATTTTTGTTGGTTTACAATTTACTCTAAATTTCATTTAGGAGAAATTATAAATTCCAGAAATCTATAGGTGTTTTTTTAAAAGTAAAGCAATTGCTTCTTCCAGATACTTTTTCATAGATTAGTTCGAAACTATGTCCTACAGGCTGCCATTTTTTTACTTAAAAGAAAAAATCTCCCAAATGTTAAAATATATGTTGACTTGAAAGTAGGTTGGGTTTTTTTTTAAGTATTTTATGTATTACTGTTACTAGGAGACAGAAAAGAAATTGAACTTATCCTTTATTTTTTACCATGCTCACAAATGTGTGCTGCTTAAAAGTGGCAACTACTGCAGAAAACATCCTTTAGTTTAATTAAATTTCAATTATAAGTTACTTTTATCATTATAATTTTAATTATTCACCCTGTCAAAAATGTGTGCTATGTAGAATCTCTCCGTTTATCATTTGTTTGTTTACAGTAACACCACTTAATTTTTCTTTTCTTCTTTTTAAGAGAACAAGTACGATTTAATGGATTTGGGATTTTTATCTTCATTGTCTATCCTGGAGCATTTGTTGACCTCTTCACAACCCACTTGCAACTGATATCTCCAGTCCAGCAATTAAGGATATTTTGTGCAGGTAATAGTTTGTACTTTTTTATTAAATCTTTGCTTAGCACAGTTACTTGTTCTACAGGCATCATTTGTGAATCCTTGATGGAGAATTAAAGGTTTAAAATGAAGAAGGACAGAAGCTTCTCTTTTACCATCCTTCTGTTCTGAATAGAAATTGTGATTTCAGAAAATCATTTGATCATTACTGTCCATATTGTGCTGTTTTCTGGAGGAGAGACATCAGTTTCTAGGAACTTAAATGAGTACCTATTTCCTGTCATGAAAAAATGTTATTATATCCTAGATCTGACTCAGAATAGTTGTACATAAGAAATTCCAATTGTGTGTTTGGGGGAAAAAAGGTGGTTTCTGACTTTCGACTCTCATTAGAAAAAGCCCTTACCCCAGTGCTCAGGAGCAGAAGTTCCTCTGTCTTTTTTTTTTTTTTTTTGGCATATTGTATGGCCTAAGTAGCAAAACCTTGGAGCACACAAGCTCAGAAATACTCGGCCAGAAGACTGGTGGTATGAGAACATGACTTGCTGTCACAGGTGAACACCCTTGAGCAATTCAGTACCGTTTTCTGCAATAGGAGCAATCTATTATGTGATTTTTCAATAGCATTATGAGTGATTTTCAGTGACACATGAGTCATGTTGTTATACTGGTCACTATGTTTTGATGCTGCCATCAGGAGGAAATAAAAGCTAAAACACAAACATCCGAATAGAATCCCAGCTTATGGCTCCAAATAACCTCCAAATTTTTTTTTATTTGATGTTTTTTGGTCTCTGGCTACTGGGAAGTAGAGCCCTGTTGCTGTGGGAAGTTAGACTGAGACCGTGTTGTGCTACCTGAACCACTTGTGTTACTGATTTCTAGAGGCGAAAGTGGTTCCCAAACTACTGAAACAAAGATAGAAAAGTTAACATCTTGGTTTAGTTCTTGATACTGATGATTTTCTATTGCAGGGGATGGTAGGATAGCGGCCAGCCTGTTGTAATGTTTAGGTACTAACATTGTTTCTTGAATATTGTAACTGAAACATTGTATAGAGAGTTTTTGGCTGGGCATACGAAAGCTTTTAGCAAAGCGTATTTCCAAGCTCTCATAAATCAAGTAAATGATGATAAATGTGAGGTAAGTAAATATATCTATATTCCAAATAACCTAATGAACTAAAATCATTCACTGCCATAGGCTAACTTTTGTGAAGCCTGTTTCTCAACTTAATCAATTTCCATTTCCAGCTACTGTGAACAGAACTGAAAGGGAAAACATACAGATTTTCAAAAAGAGGTTGCTTACATACATTCCTGAGAAATCATCAAGAAAAACAAGATTATAAGCTGTAATAGAAAATAATTGCTTGCATGTTTTTGGTGACAAACAAACACCTATAATAATTTTTCGTGTTTCTTGGGAAACCTGAAATAGGGGAATACAGGGTAGGAACAAGCATGTTGCAAGATTGGTTAGCATCAATGGCTTGTTACCAGTTAGGTATAACAAATATATGCATTTTTTTTTACAGCTAATGATAAATATGTTTCAGAACTAGGATGTTTGATAACGATAAGATGTGATATTCAATAAACTTTACTCAGTGTTTCCTGATTGTCAGAGCAGTTGAATGAACCTGTTCTCAGTGTTCTGAAGATCTGAGTTTACAGAGACATGCTTTCAGATTTTTCTATGGCAGCTAAGTAAAAGAGCTAGAGTAGAGGACGACACTGAATATTCCTTTTGTAGTTCACCTGGAGATTAAAGAGTATATTTGTTGTACAGCAGATGGCATCATGAGTTTAAGAATAGTGAAAGAGCGCTCTTGTAAGATTTGTGATATTTTTTGCATTAATTCTATGCCTAGTAGATAAAAAGTGCTTCTGTGCAGCACTTTCTTATAATTAGTTCAAATATTCACATTATTTTTGAGGTCCTTTTTAATACGTTTTGTCTTGTCCTTAAGAGAAAAAGGAGTTAAAGATTTTTAAAACATTATTTTAAGGTCTTTCAAGGGTGGTGTAAAGTGTCCCTTTTTAAATATAAGGAATTGGGTATCCAAGGGTGAGGCTGTTTTAGTAAAATGAAATTGATGGTATACTCAGCAGTGTGCCTCTACTGGTATTCTCATTTTGATCCTGTTTATTTTTCTATGGTTTGCCTGGGATGAATTTGAAGCCTTTCTATTTTAGACTTTTCTGCTGTATTCCACATAGCAAACTGTCTAGATTATGGTATTAAGACCCATGTTTTCCTAACTGTTTGAAAGTATTCCTTGTCACCCTCCAGCAGTTCCATCACATCTTTTATTTTTTCTTTTAATTTTTTCCCAGTTTACTCTCTCTAGCAGCCATACTGTTACAAAGGAATTTTGTTTCTGTCTTAGATTTTGATCCTTTCTTAAGCTGGAAAAAATAAAGTTTATTTTTAATATTAGAAGATTAAAACAATTAAGTTAAAATATTTACTTAATACTTTTGGTTTTGTTGCACTTGTATGTGTGTGGTGTACGCGTATATGTGTATGTGTGAGATAAAGAGAACTGAATGCTGAAATATTTCATCTACCTGATTGCCTTTCAATGAGATGATTAAAAACTTACAGAAAGAGAAATCACTTTAAGAAGCGTCTACTAGTGGAAATGGCAACAAACCCTTACTTAAAGTACTCCAAAAATGTGTCTCGTTTCTGCAGCATCAGAAACATTGTAAAAGAAGACCAGATGACATGTAGAGATAGCCAAGGGAAATAAGAGTTATGTTATGATTCCTGTATTGTATACAGTGCAAGAAAGATAGGTTTAATATGTTTTTAAATATATTTACTTTGGTTCCTGTCCTGTAACTGTACTGTAAATATAGAATCGAATCAAACATCTCTTAACAAGATGAAGCACTGTAAGAAGGAAATAAGGAGTCTTCAACATGCAAAAATTTTCCTGCATTGGTCATACAAAATGTTTGTCCAAGAACACAACTGAAATGAGAAAATTTGTGCAGTACTGGATGTTGAAGAAAGCCAAGCGTGTCTTATGATAGCGATTCATTTCTTCCTGTGGAGAACAGCATACTATAAAGATTTCAGCTGAAAATATGTTGCCCAAAATAATGTGTCAGGAAATGCTGATTGCACAATTTAGTTTCTTGATGTGGTTTTAGGTCGGGATTTTCTTGTAAAAGAAGCCTTTTTTCAAATAATTTTCTAAACTTGCTTGGCACATATACATGTAATTATTTTCATTCATATAATGGAGATAACCATGAAAAATACTGAATTTCACCTAAATTTCATCTGTCTTGCTGACTAGGACAAACAGTATTTATTCACATATAAGCCCATTGATTAAGATTTTTAAATTCAACAGTTTATTGTGGTAGAAGGTGACAAGTAATACATTTCCTTCCACTAGTTTTTTAATATTCATGATTGATGACAACTCTGTAGATAGAAACTGTAGTTCAAGAATTGATTCAGTTTTTCTTCTGGATACTCTGCCCACCACATACTACATAGAAAAGTAGTGTTATGTGATGAAATATCAATAGGGTAGAATAACACCTTAAAAATGGACTTACCACTTCCCTGTCTTTTCTGATAGTATAATTCTCAGGGGTTCAGAGGCTTCTCTAAAACTCCCCTACAAAGTGACATCATGGAAACTTAAGTTCGTAAAGTAATATATGTATTCTTCTTTCATGCCGATGTTCACAAATTAACTTTTCATCTGTTCTTACTTCAGGAAAGTTAATTAGAAGGTAATTGTAGAATCTTGTATTTCAAAAACACCTTTTTGTTATTAGTGTTTATTTAGAAAGGTGATTTTTTTCCTTCTTTTTAGGAGTGTGGCATAATTTTGTTCTTGGTGTTGCAAGTTTCATGGTTTTGTTTCTGCTGCCAGCCATTCTTTTCCCTTTCTATTACACGGGTGTTGGGGCACTTGTTACTGAGGTCGCCGAGGTAAGAAGAGATCTTTACTGTTTTCATCTTATGTGCTTTGTGACCTGAAATTTACCTGTGTCTCTTATTATCGCAGTCAAATTTGGTCAGTGCAGAATCTAATACATTGCACTTCTTGTCTGCTTAAAGTCTCCTTCTCAGTCTCACATTTTTTAGTATTAGTAAATGAAGGAACATAACATGAATAATTATAGTCTACTCAGCATACTATCAAACTGTTTAGACATTTGAGATGAGTTTGCAGGCTTATTTCTGTGGGGTTTTTTTTAAACTTCTTTTCAATATTGGCACCAAGTAAATATACTGGAAATTTCATTATCGCTGTAGTTATTGCTGTCTGTTTTTAATGTTAAAGATTATTCTGAGCTGACTTCCTTGCTTGTTTGGTCAGCTGGAAGCAAAGTAGAGATAGACTGCTGAGTTTCTACAAAGAACTGATTTTTTTTTTCTGACTTAATCAAATACAGCACAGTTGAACAGCAGAGCTGAAAAGATTCAGTCTTTCTTGGATTTAAAAGTGACCTCATATAACTCAGGAGGAAAGTGACATTTATTATGCTTTATACCTTTGAAAGTGTAGGTACACCCTGCTTTGTTGAAAGGTTCAGGGTGTTAATTCAAGCTTCTTGAACTTAAAATGGTAGGAAAACCCACAACATATTAACTTATATGAAAATAATTAGTCAGATTTGAAGAGATCCCCCGGAACACTTTTCCTTTTCTTTTCAATAAATAAGTTATTACTTGTACAGGATGTTGTTTTTGTAATGCTCTATCGCAAGTTGAAATAATCAGTTCTAGTAGAGCCTGAGATTTTCTGTTTCTCTGTAAGTAGCATCCTAACCTAAAGATTTCATGCCTATTTGGCAGAATTGTAAACAAATCCTTGTAGTTTTAACTACAATAACATGACTGACTTCACTATTTCTTGTCAGGATTCTCCTGCCAATGGACCAAGAGGTCTTTTTGTGGGAGACCTTGTCACTAACCTGCAAGACTGCCCAGTTTACAGCGTAGAAGACTGGAATTCCTGTCTGGGAGACATTTCAGAGAAGTCACAGGTCGGCTACTGTATTAGTGCAGCCACCCTACAGCAATTAAGCTTTCCAGCTAGAGGTATGACTTTAGGTGCTCTCTTCATTATTTTATATTGTAATTTTATCATGTCTTAAAGACTATTTTGGATTTAGGATTTGTTGGTGGGGACAGATTTCTCCTAAGTCGAGTCTGCTATCCTGTCTTAAGCAGGGACCAATAAACCATTCATTTTTGTGAAATCTGAAAGTGAGGAAGAGGTAGATAGAAGATAGAAGAATTTCTCTGGTCTTCCAGTCATCCTATACAAATATCCTGTATGATCTGAATAATAATATTTGCCTCTTCAGGATATTGCATAACTTGGTTATTAGCAGTAATACAATTATCTCCTCTATTTTTAGTTCAGTTACATGGATCAACTCGGTGATCTTTTGCAGATGTAAATTTCGCTTGTTACCTTACAGCTTTGATCAGCATGACATTACAAATTGTATGGCTTAACCCAATGATGTGCTTTATTATGGCCCTTCTTCTGATGTGTCTCGCTATACGGGTTTTATGTTTCATTTGCTTCTTCAACCTCACAGTGTCATTGCCCATAAACTCAGTTTTGTCTGGATTGCACATATTGCTTCTAGAAGTCAGTCTGTTTCCTTCTGTTTTCATTTATATGTTAGAGTGCTTGTTGCTGTAACGGCTTACCCCTGAGAAACAAAAAAATGAGAACTGAACTAAACTAGAACAATAAACAAAAATTAAATAGAACAAAAAACAGTCATATTAAATTGGCTGAATGTCTTGTGACATGCCCTGAAGCTCTCTAGAGCTTTTTTTCATGCAAGGATTGTAGAGACTGAATTCCAAAGGTAAGGGGCTGCAGCTGACCGAAACCTGTATGATGCTATTCAGAGCTTTAAAATTGTCACTGCACTTTTCCATCATCCAAGTAAACAGGAGGTCTGCCCATGGTTTTTTTGATACATTACAGTTCTCTTGTGAGACTGAAAAGGTTATTTATTTATTTATTTATTTATTTATTTCAGTATGTAAGGAAAGTAATCTTACATCTAGAACTGAGATTAAATATTTAACTGGAAACTAGCAGAGTGTGGGTAAGATCCTGCTTTTAGAGACCTGACAGTTTGGATTATCCCTCTGAAGAGAAGGGCAACTTTGCACATGCTTTCAGTTGGGCAGGGATGGCACATGAGAACCAATTCCTAGAAGCTGTAGGTATATATGCTCAGATTCTGCTGTTCTCTGAAATGCAATTTCAGAATCACGGATAATAAAACTGCATATTCTGCAACTGAACCAGTCCTATTTAGATTGAAATACTAGAGACTTAATACTAGAGACTCAATATTGCTTCCAAGCTTGGTTGCATTATTGTGTTAACAGCCCATTGTCCCACTGCTGCATGCTAATCAGACCAGTCTGTCTGCATTTTTGGAGCCATAAGCCTCCAGCAGTGAGAAATATTCCTCTGAAATTAAATGAACTCTGTTCAGTCTCTAGCAGCTGTCATTTGTCAAAATCTTCACAGTTCACAACTTGACATAAGTACAGAATATAAATAAAAATGTATCTAGCAAATGGACCCTATTTACTTGACCATAAAACAAATGGAGAGTAAACTATTTGAGTATGAAGCAAGACAGATAACAATGCCCCAAGGATCTTCTTGACATTGAAAACACTTCTTCTTTTGTTTTTCAATGTAGTTTATAAGGAAACTAATTTTATGGTCATTCACTATTCAAAATGAAGTACCCTGCTTAGCCTCAGGGTACTTGAAGGAAGGATTGTACGGTACAGTGCTTGCACCTGTGAGCCCCAGGCATAAAGCTCCGTGTTAGTGGACTGCAGATTATGCAGTGGTAAATCAGCAACCAGTATCGCAGGCTTGATCTACCTAAGGAAGGTACTGCAGTGTTGCTATGACACAGATTCTTGCAGTGGTTATTCTTTTGTGGGTTTTTTTAAAAGCTATTGTAGAGTAAGTTGGGTTTAATTCAGTTAAAGAACATCCATACAAAGATTCTGTACAGGACTATTTAAATCACAGTTTCATCCATCATTTATTCACTGCTGCAGCCTTCAAGGCTTGGAAAGCTTTCAAAACCTGAATCTTCTAAAGGCTTTCACATTTTAAAGAGGACATTTTGAATCTTGGTTGTTTCCATACCCAGTCAGTGATATCAGTATAGTACCTGGTAACATATTTCTATGCCAAACCTTAATGCAAGTTGGGGGCAACAGATAAAAGTATTTTGTAACCCACAATGCTCAGAACATTGCAGTGGTAGGTCCTCAGTATCTGAAGGAGATTTATTAAGAAGAAAAAGTCAGTATGTGACGTGATTGAAATCAGGTGATGGTGACACTGTTAAAGGGGTGAAGCTTATTTTTAGTTGTGGCTGAACCACAGCTAGGCTCTGTGTAGTACTATAATTCTTGAAGGTTTTACTTTATTCAGTGACTAATTTATTTTCAGGAAGTTACTATAATATTGATCATTTGCTCTATGCCTATGTTCTTTAGTCTATAGAAGACTTGATGGCACAGTTGAATGTTGTAGTAACAACAGCCTCACAGACATTTGCTTTTCATATAGCAATAACTTGGACAGCCACCTGGTAAGTTACTTAAACTACTAATTCTGTTTGGTAAATCTGAAATTATTTAAATTAAATTACTAATATTTACCAACATTTATGCAGCATACTCAAGTGCTTAAGAATACTTACAGTTTGAAATAAAGGTGTATGTGTATGTTATTCTCCCTATGTACAGCTTAAAACCCCAGAGTATTAGTTACGATTTTTCCCATGATCAATCAAGTAGTCTCTGGAAGAACCCCTCATTCCTTTAGGCAGAAAGACATCTCCCCCATTTTCACTGCTGGATGAGAATATTGGTGAGAAAACACAACTTTTGAGAACAAGGTAAAACTGCATATTTTGGTGCTTCAGTCTTTAAAGGTACCAAGCACTACAGGCAAAGCAAAGCACTGGAATATCTGTTCAGTTATTTTGTCTAATGCCAGCAGTGCTGCTCCTTAGGTTAAACTAAAAAACATGCAGAAGAAGGTCCTAGAGATCACCCAAATTCTCAAAATCAGAGCCGCTATTTGATTCCTTTCTCACCACGTTGATTTTTCTGTAACATAGAAATGTATAAAATTTCTCCATAGGACTTTGACGTACTCTCTTCAAAATACAGAAACATTTGTTAAAATTCATATTGACAGTGATGTAATATTTCTAACAGTTCTCTTTACAAGAAAAAGAGCACAAGCACATACCAGCTTGTTATTGTTCTGACCTCTAGTGATAAATACCTAAAGAAATGGAAATAAGTCTGTTCCTACATCTGCCACGTTTACAGTTTCTACGATGGTAAACTTCCAGGGTGTTTTTGTGGTATTTAACCACTAAGAATTGAGCACAGACCAGCAGTTCATTTGAAATATGACAGTGGCTGGTAACATCCTGGAGTTCAGCAAGATTTGATAAATCACTACCCCACTGAGCTTTGACATTCTTAAGCTCATAGCTGCTACTTAGGAGCAGAGAAGAAATAAAAGCATCCAGAAGCCTGTGATCTTCAAGTGTCCTTAGACTGTCTGTGAGTTTTTGAACAACTATTTAAAATATTCTTTGCAGTGCTATCCAGCAGTATTTGAAAGTGCCCTCTCCCCCTCATTAGAATAGAAAAAGCTTGTATTGAGGTTAATGGAGAGTGCCTGACACTCGTGCATCTACAGGGAGTGTAACTATCAGGTCAAGGAGCAAGAAAATCCTTTTCCTTTTTCTTTTTTTTTTTTTTTTTCCTAAGGCAAACAGTAGATGAAGAACTTTCCTTGCTTGTGTTTAAGAACAAAAGGAAAACTATCACAGCTTTTATGAGAGACATGAGGGGGAAAACCAATTTCCTGTTCCTTTCTGCTGTACTCTCTTCGGCCTGTGGGGAGCAAGAAAGATCTGGTCTTTCAGACTGCAGAGTGAAAGAATGTTATAGGTAGGACTTGGGACACAGCATTGCATTAAGGCCTGTGTTATCTTAGTTGAGAATGGTTTCTTAGCTACCACACAGCCGGTAGGTTTGTTGGTTTGTTTGCTGAACATAAGGTTTTGTTCAGCCAAATGAGGTTTTAGATCAATGAAGACTAAAACTTCTTACACAGGTAAAGTCCCTGGTATGTTGATGCAGGCTCTGTTCATTAGAAATCACTGACTTATGTTTAGATGCCTTGATTTTTTGTTGTGCATGTGTGTACCTTTTTAAAAATAGTTAGCTTTTATTTTGGTACATGTGCACACCCTCTCTTCCACATTCTACCAAAAACAGAATGACAGGTTGAATATGTATCAGGTAGAGGTTCTGCAAGATTTGACCAAAAAAAACCCCAAAATCAGATTTCAGCTCTTCATGGACTAGTAGTGTATCAGTGAGGCACTTCTTTTGCTTTAAAAAAGAATATATAGTACCTTTTATTCTGATCTGTTGGAAAATACCTTTAAATTTTATAATAATTTTAAATGCCCTTTGCAGTATGCCTGTCTGCCAGCACGAAAAGTTATTGAGGCCAGCAAAGTTTGTCGAACCAGCATGGACTGCCAGAAGGACTCTGTTCCAAGCTTTTGTGTGACTCCTTCTTTAGAGAACCAAACAAGACTAATCAGGGTAAAACATCCACCCCATATTGACATGCTGTTTGTAGGACACCCCATGCATCTTCAGTACACAGGTTGGTATTCTTTATTAAAACAGTTTAATAAAAGATTACTAATATGGGTTGCTTTGCCTGGCTGCTTGAACAAGGTCTTGGAGCACTTGTCAGTTAACTTGTTTAATGCAGAATCCATTTCTTGTTACAGCCAGTGGAGAGACATGGACTACTCAGGCCTAAAATGAAATGTGCACAGTGCAATGATTTACGAAGGTAATAGAAACCATATGTGATATGAGATGGTTGTTTTTTCAGGAAAGTATGAAAGGGCTATTTCTATAACAGATCTCACTCAGGTTAGTCATGGGAACCAGGCATCTGCATTTTCGTAACACATAAACTTCTCAAAATACTATTGTAAAATCTCTGGGGCATCTTGCTCTAACACCTTGCCTGGAATATTAGCATGACTGCTTAAATCACACCTAATATCCAGGTGTTTGTGACAGATTCCCATGACTACTGAGCTACAAGTACAATCACAACATAGTTTTTTCCTGATTAATTTTTTTATTTATTTGAGTGCCCTAAACCTATAACAGTTTAGTTCCTTACTTTGAAATGGACTATGGCTCTCCTTTAGGCAAACTTATATCCTTCAGCCAGGTATATGAGTAAAAAGTAATTCTGCTCTTGGAGCAAGTATGGAAACAATGAACAAACTCATCAACATGTCTATTTAGTAGCTTGAGTGGCATGGTGAAATTTAGCTCCAGATGGCCTTAAAAAGGTATGAAGTGTTAAACTACTGTCCCTTCCTATGAGGAACCTGCCTGTTCCTCACAGACAGCTATACCTCGCAGGGGGAGATTTTTCTTCAGACATCTTGAAGTACCTTCTTAGCAAGGCATTGTATTTTTCTGAATAAGCATTGGAATTAGGTACTTTAGAAACAGTGCTGGAATCTGGTAGTGTAAATCCATTAGCATTCTTGCATAAACATATTTTTAGGTAATCTGTCAGTCATTATCTTTCTGTACTGGTCATATTTTGATGCTCTGTGACAAATTATTTATTGCTACTTGTTTAGACTATATGCTCATTTAAGCCCAAAATATGATCTCTTCACTTGTTATTTCTGCCCTCTTGCCATTCAGGAGGAAAACATTCTTCACTGTGTGGTATCAACACACAGTTCTATATTTGATGACATCTACTCCAAATGCAGTAACAAATTTTAAGAATAGAGTTTAGTAATTATTTTAAGTTCCCTTTCTTAGTCTCTAACAATGCAAACTGTAGGTACTCTAGAACAATTGACATTGTTCTCTTTTCCAATATGCTGGAGCAGTGGAGTTTTAGTCAGTGTTTCCTACTGAACAGTAATTCTACAAAACAATTCAACCTGACAGTCTTTCAGAAGTCAGAAAATAATGTTCTTGCACCTAAAGAGGTAGTTCTACTTTAAGAAGTTACTGCGTGAAAATACAATTTACAGTGCATTCACAGGAATAGAATTCTGAAGTGTTTTACTGTACCCTGGGAATTGCACATTGAATGTGTTAATTTGAAAGCTAAAAGCTCGACTTTATTACAAACTTTGCTGCAAACGCAACCTGTGCTCTATGTTCCCCTTGGAAAAACACGAGAGCTAAAATTATAGGATCTTGGCCTGGGCAGCAGATAGTCTACTGTACCATCGTAGAGTGCCATGCATTCCAATGAAACAGCTTCTAAATATTTCAGACTTAACTTTGCACTGTACAATACTGGCTTGGGGCCAACAGGTTTGATTTTATTTTTTTTTCCCCAAATGTGACTGATCAGAATGTGGTAACTGTTTTTTTACAGTTAAGAAAGGAAAAATAATTTCCTCCTCTGCTGTGTGAATTTTGAAATAGCAGTACGTTTTAGTGAAATGCCTTATTCTTTTGTGTGATCTTTCTGCCTGCAGGAAACATTACTTTTTAGAATGGTGCTACATTTAACACACAACCTGATGTGGGAGTTGCACCAGTGTGTACTATGACTTTACTTCCTCTAGAAATGTCACTAAAGTAATGTTTGAAAAACATCCTAAGATTATGCATGTATTGTTTTCTACTTAGGCTTGCATTGTTGTCATGATAGTCCCAATTTATGGAGAAGCAGTAATAATTTCGTATTTTCATTTGAAGCTAGCTTCCGGATACAATATTTTGAAAAATTTATGTCCATATTAGCTACTTACAAGAAATAGACTATACAGCTTGCTTCTATAAAAATGTTTCTGTTCCTCAAAGTAAAATATCCTTGCAAAAAATATTTTTCATTGCTATGGATGCTATATATAGCTCTTGTTTCCAGTATAAAAAAAAACCTGTAAAGAATCATAATCCTAAATGAACTTAAGAGTGCTGGAGATTTGGCCAAAACTAAACCAGAAGGAATGATTAGGAATGCTTATTGTTTAGGATGGACACACTGATTAATCCTTTTAATTAGCGTTCTCCCTGTAAAAAGTATTTAATGTAATCCAATATAAATTCATACTGTGGGTGTAATTTATGTAGTATTACTCAAGACTTTTCTTATTGCAGGCCAGTTATGCTTTAGAGGCTCTCCCTATGTTGGGAGAAGGTAAGGTTGAAATGGAGGACTCTGTCATTATTGCCATGCAGCTTTGTAGTGTTTCTTCTTTATTTTGTATGGGGCTTTTTATTCCTTCCTGTCATTTCTGGTATTGCAAAATCTTGGCTTCCTTCTCTGGCCCTCGTTGGTTGGGAATAATCTAGTGACTAACATTCATGTTTGGAATTCACACTGCTTGGGGGAACATCATATCCCTGAATGTTGCTGTATCTGCATCGCCCATCACAGATCAAAAGTTGCAAGATTTTCTTCATGAAAAGAAGATGGAATTTACCTAGAAGATACTTTCCCCCAACTGGACCAGTCTCCTACTTCTGTTTTATCCAAGTCTTCTAAAAAATAGCCACTTCCTGGCTTTGGGGAGATTTTGGGGCAACAACAGCCATAATCCCTGATGAAGGTGTCTCCGTTAGAGTCTGGTTTCTCAGTATTTCCATGCTTGTTTCCCCTTATTGCTGAGGATGATCCTTCTTTTCTTTCAATCCATATTTAAAGGGTTACATGTATAGTTCTTCTGGAGACAACATAGCAAAATCTCATGCCATACCATCTCTCTCGTCCATAGCATATATGCCATTTCCCCCATCAAAAGGTTTTGAAAATCTCTTTGGTCAAGCTAGTCTCCAAATCACTTCTATTTAAAATTGTGTCTGTTGTGGATTCTTCTCAACGTTTGCCAACACCGTCTAGCATTAGCCAACAAAATAAGTGTTAATTCCAGGTCAAATAGTTGTTTAATCAGAGTAGGAAAACAATGACTGTTTTCTCTCACCCAGTCTCATTGCTGTTCACCTCTTCCCAGCAGTGTCTTTTGAAGACAAGCCTGGAGAACATAATTTCTGTAATTCTTTTCTTATTCCTCGAAGGACAGATTTGCCTATTGTCATTAGGTTTGATCCATTACAGCTGCTAAACTCATTGCCTCATATTACAGTGTCTAGAGCTCAGTCCAGCAACTTCCTGAAGAGTTTCTTTGTGTTTTAGAGATTGCTTCAGCAGCAAAGTTTGGAGTTTAGATCCATGTCTAGTGGCTGTTCTAACAAAGAGGGAAGGAGATCAGTGATCCATTCTCAATGTAGGCACAACTTGAGGTTCAGGATGGTGACAGAAATTACAGTATATTGCAGTGTGTGCCTTTTGAAACCTTTCTGAATACACTGACTGCCTCAGCCATTTTGCTATTTTGGCTCACGAACAAGAGGTCTGATCAGATGTTCTGATACCAGCTTTCAGCTTGATGAGTTGTTTACTTTGGGTATCATTTGACTTGGATGCCTCTGACTTTCTGAGCTCTGTGGTCTCCAGGATTTCTGTCTGTTATGTTCTTCACTCAGTAGTCCAACAGACTTACTTATTTTCTCTCAGTTCCCCTAAATCAAAGGTCTTTCTTAAGCTAAGTTAAGAGAGAACATGATTTTCAAGCTGTCTTGGCATAGCTGTGGCAGTTTTCGTATTGGAAAGTTCTCTGCTTGTTGCCCAACCAAACCCATTCATTTTTGGCACTCCTTGCTATCCAAATCTCTCCATCTCGCGGTATGGTTGCTGGTTGGACTAATTATCGCTTCTGACTCATCAGAAGGGCCTCTATTAACAGAAGAAAATGTGTTTATGTGACTGAGTAGACAGTTCTCTGCCTTATGTGCCTTTGGAACTGCTTTCCCCTTGTCTTTGTTCCTGTGTCCTTGAATTGTTTATTGAACCTGAAGAAAACTGATCTCACTCTTAACTAAGTTATACTTAGCAGCACTTTTGTTGTGTTATGTACTGGTGCTGTGAGGTTCTCGTAGCCTATGGCTTTAAAATTTCTCACAGAGTGAGTTAAATTGTTCCTTTCCCAAGGGATGTTTGTATTGAGTGGGATTTAAACTCTTGCTTTCACATATCCCAGTGGAGATGGTATTTCTTACAGCTGTAACTTTTTCCCAGGTTGTTAAGGAAAATACAGGCCATTGTGCCTGGCCTCAACTTGTGTCCAAAGTTGTACTTTTGGGACAGAGTGACTATTGTTGATACTACGCAAGCTCATTCTTAAGGTGATTTTCTAAATCTACTTTAATTTATCTAAACCTCTTCCTTCTGGAGATAAGACTCCGCTAGGCTATGAGTGGAGTCTTCTAGTAGGAAAGGTGTCTTTCCTCCAGCTGTTACAGAACTAAGGCTTTCAAACGGTCCCTGAGGCTGGCAGACTGACTACGTTTACTTTGAAAGACTGCATCAAGACTTTTTATGAGACAACCCAAATGGAGCATCCCTGTATTAACAGAGTGCACTCTGGGAGGCCTCAAGCTACCTCAGTTTTCTTTGAGGAGTCTATCATAAACATTTGCCGTGCAGTCAGCTGAAGCTTCATGTACACCTTCAAAGAAGTTATGGTCCTAAAGAGGTGTTTCAAGGTCATGTGGTGCTTGACACTGCAATTTTCCTGTCACTATTTATAGGAAGGATGCTGAGTCTCACCACCCAGGTTTTTAAGTTGCACTGTTACATCTTGGAGTCACTTATAGTACCATCTGAAAACAGAAAAAGAAGCTACTTGTGTGCTGGCTAACTGGTGTTAATGCACCCACGCATCATCTCCTAGCCTTTGCTTTCTCCGAGTGACTCCAGAACTCTGCTCCCTATCTGCCCCTATCCTTTACACCATGGGCTCAGCCTCAGGTCATGGGGATCTTCTGCAGGTACTGCAAGAGAAGAATTTTCTGGCCTTCAGAGAAAGTACATGTGTGCACCCACAGTATGAATGTATACATGTGGACTGCATATGTTGAAAAAGTCTGGTAACTATAATCTTTTTTTATATGTTTTTCTTTGAAAAGGATTAAATTACACAATGTGGTCTTTATGACTACAGATGTCTAGTTGCCTCTGAAAATATATATCTTAGATCTACTTTTACTGAAATCATGCTAATTGTATTTTGTGGAGTGACTTTACTATGATAGTGACCATGTTTAAGAAAGATTTAATGGCTGCACCCTTTCAAAAACAAAACCCAAGCAAAACCAAGTATTTAGATTGCTTATTCATCCTTGAAGAAATGTCATTTCAGATCTGATTTTTCTGCAAAATTATAATCTAAAATTCCTAATGTTATAATCCTGGAATGACTGTTCTTATTTTGTATATCTCTATATTTTTGTTTCAGTAAGTCTCAGCAGTTTTGTACCACGACAAAACTTTCTAAGCATTGATCTGCCTGTGGTAATAGAGACATTTTGCAAGTATCCTTTGAAGTATGTTTGTTCTTTTAAGGCAAGAAGAGAACTGTTTAGAATTTGGTGACCCAGCAAAATTTCAGTTGGATATCATTTTAGACAGGATGCTCTGAAACATTTCTGTAGAGTTTTGACATCTTTATCCCCTCTCTGCATTGATTATTGTCCATGTGCCAAGCTCAAAATGAAATTTCTCACTTTCTTGTGCTTAGCAGGATATTTTTAGTCAGTGCTTTTTTTAACTCTTTCTTGAGAGTGAGTCTTAACAGCTCTGACGAGAAAGTCAAAGTAAGCCTGAATTTACGGCAGGACAAATGAGATGTTATTGCTAGCTTTGGTATGTCAGAGTTTTGTCATTTTTGCATCATTATACTGGACTAAATAACAGGGTATAGGGTGATTGTTTTGGGGTTGTTTTTTCTTCAACAAAAAAGAAAACTTAGCCTATTCAAAAAGCAGGAAGATAATTCAGTTATAACTGAATTATTAATGAATGAGATGATATATATATATGCATACATAAAGGTTAGTAGGCTTGAATATGGCTACTCTAAGAACCCTTAGCCTTAGAAACTGAAATGTTTATGCATGGCTGTAGAACAATTAAACAGTGTAGTTAAGTTTAGTCCATAAAACTAGAGTAAAGATGCTACATAAGCTCCCCTTTTCTGGGAACACGCCAAGGTTCACACTGACCCAGTTGCTTTCTGAGTCATGTCTTCTTGTCCGGCCATTATAGGATGAAGGTAGGTATTAAAGTTAGCAAGCCTTTACCAACAATAAAAATGATCTACCTTTGCCTCATTCTCACATGCACATGCACGTACAGAAATCCGCTCAGCTTTCCTGGCTAACAGGTAAGTAAGAGAGAGAGGCCAGATTTCCAATCATATTCTAGCCATTTACTCACTCCAGCAAGGGAGTGTTTTGGAAAATATTCCTAATCATTATTTCATACTTAGGTCATAGGTCTAGAACACCTCCTTACTTCAGGCATAGTGTCAGAGCTATAACCTTCCTCCAAAACCACACAAAGCAAGGGAGGAAGATGGGCGGTATTGTGTGGTTTTGCTGTCTCCTGCTTTCATCCGAGTTGTGAAGAGTGCAGGTTGTTTAAGTATCCAAACCTACTGCTTAAAACCAAATGAATCTATAAAGGCCATTCTCTGAGCTGGTATGTTATGATGTAAAACTCATTGTACTCATATAATTTCTATGAAACAGAATGGCAGCTAAAACAAATAATCCTCATATATCTCTGTCTGCATACTAGAAATAAAAAATGTTTTGTTTTGGTTTTTTTTTTTACATTTCCTTGGATATTATTCATGAACCTTAACTAATGTCAACCAGGTACCTAATTTCACTGTCAGGAGCACTGGCAGTTATCAATGCTGTACCGTGCTTCGCTTTGGATGGTCAGTGGATATTAAATTCATTCCTGGAAGCCACTCTGAGCTCCCTGATTGTAGAAAAACAAAACAGAGAGCTTGTTGGCTTTTTAATTTTGCTTGCTGGTAGTGCACTTTTGGCTGCCAATGTTGCACTGGGACTTTGGATGGTGACAGCACGATAGAACGCTGGATACGCTTCCGTCAGTTTTCAAAGTACACAGAAATAATGAATCCATTGCCTTTTAAAACTTGTTCAGTGCTGAGATTGAAATAATTACCTTAAAATGACACTGAAAGAACAATCACTGATGGCTACTGTTTTAATTTAAAACTGTACAACATTGTGCCTGTGGTCATAGGAGTCTAATAGAAAGAAATAGGAACCTTTTTATATACTCTTGAAGCACTGTACTAATTTTGGAGAAATTGCATTGCAGAATTTCACAGGAAAAAACCTAAGACTTCATTAATTTAGATCTCAAAATACAGGAATTATTTGGCCTCAAACATTTGTAAAGTGGGAGAAAAAAAACATTTAGGTTTTATTTTATAATTTGAATAATTGTCAGAAAATCTGCATGGGCTGTGATCATTTTCAGTCAGCATAGTCTTGGTTTTGTTTTTCAAATCTGGTATTCCACCAAACTGGACTCTAAGAAGCCCTAAAGTCTGTTCTCAAAATGGTGAAAAGCTAAGTAAATGCTTACCATGTGCTAATAAGGAGAGAGAGGCCATATGGGTTAGTGACTTTCCTTTTCAGCCAGCCAAAATGACTGGAAGCATGTTGTCCTCGGGATGTAGATGAGAAGTGCCAATGTCTGTTAAAAGTGAGGCATGCGGGAGGATAACAAAGCCCACATGTCTGTGTTTCTTACACGTTCAGTTGTATGTTATCTTACGCAGCTGAAGATTTTTTAAAGGCAGTATTTGTCAGCAATAGCTACAAGACAACTCAAATTTAGTTTCTGAGTGCTGAAGTATGCTGTGCACAATTATTCCTAAGTGATAAGTAATGTTTGTGTTGTTTTACTCAGAAAATAATACTGTATTATACCTGTTTACAGTTAAAAGTGAAACCTGTTGTTTTTATGGTGTCTATCTTCTGATGCTATGCATGTAATATGTACAGTAACTCACTGATGGTTTTCTGTCTTTCAAAGGGTTGTCTTCCTTTGCTAGGATTCATTCTGTTCAAAGATAGCTAACAAAGATGTTTAGCTGAAGCAGGTCTTGGATCAGAAGATTAGAGGAAGAATATGATTGTGAATTGAACTACTTAAACATTTGTCTTTGCTTTCTGAGGTGAATACAGACCATATGCTTGTTCTTTAATGAACAGTGGAAGAACAGTCAGTGTTTTGCTGACCGAAGTATGTCTGACATACTTTGAAGCTCTTTTAAGTCTGTAATATTTTGTACCCAATCAGATTATATTTTGACCGTCATGTCCTCCCGTGATATATTGCCTAGTTTATACAAATCAGGTTCAGTCAGAGCCTTGCCTCAATATAGGCTGATATTTAAACAAACGAACAACAACAAAAAAGTCCTGGGTAATTTTAAAAGCGGGGTTGAGCCCAATTCCTGGTGCTAGTGCACGGATTCGTAACTCTGATGTTTGTATTTGCCCACTGATGTGTGGCTGTAGTTTTACACAGTAGCCTTCACACTTAGTTAAGATATATTCTTTTCTTAACGTGATGCAAGCAGTAGTGAGAGACCATGTTTGTTTATTTGTTGTTGTGTTAGTTCACTTAGGTCTCCAGTGCTGTCACAGGCCTCTTGAAGTTCACCTCTGTGGGGTGGCATGGCCGGCCTGTCCCCCTCATTTTCAGTCATTTCAACCCAGGCATGTCGGCACCGATCCCGGTAAGAGAGAGTAAATCCTCCAGTCAATCCCGTGTGAGTCGGTCCCTTTGGGGGCTGCTAAAAGTCACACAAACTGCAAGAAAGGAAGAAGAAACTATCAGAAACTGCTGGTGGGCTTCTCTTTCTTCCGGAGACGCCCTGAAAGTCTTAACTCGTCCTGACTCCTGGAAACAGAGGGACGGGAGCAGCCTGATTCTTGCCCAGAGCCTGGCTCTGAGGCTGTGCTGCAGAACCTGCTCGCTCACCTAAGTGGCTGCTTACTAATCTGAGCTCTTCCTTTCAGTGCCTCTGTGCCACTTTTCTCTCTCTCTGGGTCTTGTCCAATCCACAGTGCACAAAATTAATTTGCACTTAGAAGTTTTAATGCAATTTAGTAAGACGTGATAGTTACTTTTCAAAATGGCTGCTATTTATGTATCAGAGTTGCAGTGCTGTCGTATTATCTAAAGCAACAACAAATGCATCTATGGTGATTTAAAAAATATTCTGTGAAAAACATTTCAAGTTTGATATTTCATATATTCATGTTGACTACAGCTGTTTGGGACAGTCTTTTAGCATAGTACCCTCCTAGAGATGAAGGCAAGAGATTTAAAAAAACCAAAGTTGCTGAATTAAAACACACAAGTTACATCTGCTATAATCAGGCTGGCAGGTTGTTCCTGGTTATTTATGTGCTACTGAAACATGATGTTTTATCAAAGGAAACTAAATCCAGTTTATTTCACTTTACACAATCACTGAAAGCCACGGCTACGCTAAGTAGAACTTCAGTCTGGGTTTGACCTCATAATCAAAAAGAGGGTGGAGAAGCCATCAGTCATGGTTTTAGCAAAATGGACACGCTAGTACACTGTAAAGACCCTGGTTATCTTTTATGGGAGAGATAGTACTAGAAGTGTTTAAAAATAATTCATGAGTCCAGTTCTCCATGTGCTGGGATTTTACTGAGTAAGGGTCAGTTTAGGTATGAATGGGTGCTTTGAATCAAGACTTGAAGCAAACTGGGTATGAATGGTGACCCAGCACATCTTAGATCACCTGTGGGCAAAGGTAAGAGTTAAGTTGCACAACTCCCTGAAGAAAAAGTTATTCAATGGATCCATTTCATTCTCCTGTAATCCTAACAAATGGATTACATTCTGATAAGCAAGTGCCATACATACAGTTACTGGGAGGGGTTTTGCTGGGTTTTTCTTTGTTTAGCAAGAGAGAACACAGGATGACACAGCACGTTTTTTGTGTGTCAGATTTTTACTCTAGAGTGTATGTGATATTTCTTCTATTTCTGTATTTGTAAAAATTAATGTAAAAATTTCCTTAAAATGAAATCTTTCCATTTCTCATTCTAAATAGCCCCTCAGAATGTAACGTATTCATTAATACAGAATCCATCGATATCATTATAGGGCATATTGACTGGAATATGAAACAGATCACTCTGAAAGATTGGACGGATACCACTATTTATGTATATACTATGAATTTTTAAATCTGTATCAGATGGAAAAAGTAATATCTAACATTGGGAATTGCTATACATAGTTTTTACTTGAAAATTGCCAGAATTCCGTAATTATCATCAGTCATTGTTCTGATTTGGTTTTTATGAGAATTTTTTTTATATCAGCAAAGACTTCTATAGCATATCCTGCTAATGCATGATATGACATGAAAAAGGCTAACTTCTTAGCATGTGGGAAGTTACATGCTCTTTGCTAACTTAAGAAATTAAAACCAGCGTGCTTCCAGTGAAATGAAAGAGACTTTGTTAGGAAAAAGTATAGACAAACTTGTAGATTAGTCAGCCCAAATTTATAAGCCACAGTGGAAAATTTGTTAACTCATCCTTTTTATTTAGAATGAAACAAGCAACTGTATTGATGGTTATGTTTTTCAGTGATGATTATTCTGCATTTGTGTGTATGTGTGTATACATGTGTACATAGATATAATGGATACATACCCAGCCACGGTCTGTATTGCTCCTTTTTTAGGGATAACTTACACCAGTCCTCCATACTCTGCACTGTAGCCTTTTTTTCTTTCTCTCTATAAATTCCATGGCTTTCTCTGGATTTTAAAATTGCAGCTATGTTTTTCTCGCGTAACTGATCTAATTTCGTTATTAACAGAAGACAACTGATCGACATAATGTAACCACAGCTGCATGAGTTTTGTTCAGCTGATCTTTAAAATATGTTTCTTGCTTTCTGTGAGGCCTCAGCCATAAGCATGGTAAACAGATTTTCAGGGCGACTAGAAGAGGTCAACCTTAGGATCCATCACTCTTTAAATGCTGCTATTTGTTCTGTTCTGGATGATAGCTGGCCTGAGTGAAACTCTGTAGAGTATACTGAAGAAATAACATTTTCAGGACAGACCTTCCCATGGCAGTCAGGATGTTTCAGCTTTCTCAAATAAGGATATATTTTTGTTGTTTAGAACATCAACAATCCAAGTTTTCTAATAGTTTCCTATGCATTTTACGTGATGGCAAAGGGTGACCTGTAGCAAGTAAGTTTTTAAATAAATTCTGTATGTCTTTTATCTGAAAGATCTGAATTTATATCTGGCTATCTTTTATGACAGATGAAGAAGGGTTGTAAGGGTTTATGTAGCCTAGTCTGTATTTAATTATTTTTAAAAAATGTGAGTTAAACTCTAGAAATAAATAGTTATTTGTAAAATATGCATTCTATACACCTGCATTCAGACCAGTTCCCACATCCAGTCTTGCTTCAGCTTTGTTCTTGTAACCTTGTGAGTAAGAAAGCCGAATCTAAGCTTCAGGTAAGATCCAATATTAGCAGCTATTTTATACCCTCTTTATCCTGAATTTCATGTAACACTAGACTAGTTACTGAATGTGGCTGAGTTATCTGGGGCATGTATCCTGTATTAACGCAGCATTTGGGAAGTGTTGTACTAAGGACTGCCAGAAAATGGCAGCTCTGTGACACTTGTTCCTTGGACTCATCCACTCCCCTCATGTGAAGAGCAGATGGCAGTGACTAAGGGCAGTGAAGAGCCTCAGTTTATGGCAGCTTTATGAGACCTTCCCACTGCTGACCCAGTGTGAAAGGACGGGAACAAAGAGCAGGATATGACACTGCAATTCCATTCATTCCATTTACATGGGCATGAAACGTGATGAGAACTTGTAATTAATGTTTCAGAGCATGCAGATATGTTTTCCAGCCCTTCACTGAATCATTCAGTGACTGGTCATCACACTTTTTTTATTTTTTAAATACTTTGTCATTCCATTAATAAATATGTGCTGAATAAATGGTATGGGTAGCTGTAGCTT